CCACGTTTAAACAGCAAAACATAATTCAAACATTCATTTTCAGCAAAGGAGCTACGTTTTCGAATTATTGAAAAGAAGAGATATTTTTTCTCCTGTCGCATAATGAAATTATTGAATTCCATTGTTACATTTAGCGGTTTTTAAAATATCAATATTTAAACGTATAAATTATACGGTACATTTTCAGCCAAACAATAGTCAAGGAAAGGAAAAAGCAAATCTTTTCTGAACTTTCTGGAGATGCACAAATGATCAGCCAAACAGAAAATACTATTCACACTCTTGTTTTTGTTAATTGGGCTGACAGAAATCAGTGCCTTGAGTAAGACTATAATGACCACAACAGCAACAACAAAACAAAAATAATCAGACTACAAAACTGGAAACAAGGGACAGACAAAGGGAAGAGTACAATAGGATTACAGTGTAACTCACAAATGAAATTAAGTCTTTGAAATTCGTTTACAGCCATGTCAAATTATTAACTATGGAAAATCAGATATAAGGTGCTGTTGAAAAGGACTTAGTCAAATTTTGTGGCAATTTTCTATTATTGAATATACCTGTTTCCTGGATCAGACAACAGAACTATGGAGTGGAAAAGCTAAGTGCAATCAAGCGCATCGAGTTAATATCGACTGCTGAGCTAGGGTGAACCCTTAGTACTGCCGTCAACTGTGATTCATGATAAATGAATCTGTGAAATAACTTGTGCAATTGTAACGTTACCTGAGAAACAAATATAGAATGGTGTTGACACCAGGGCCGGGCTGTTCGAAAGGTAACCTGGAATTCAAAGTTAAGCGAAGTATTAATTTTGCTGGTGTAAAAATGCTTTTCACTTCTTCAGTTAGATCGACGCTCGAGATTAATGCATGCATAATTCAAATGTCTACCAGAAAGAAAGCAGAGGACACTTGTTATCAGATCAACTTGAAACTACTTCATAAGACGTTTCGAGAGAGAGAGAAAAAAAAAACACCAAAAGATCCGTGGAAAAGAATGAAGTACTTCCTCTTTTCAAGACAGCTTTATTGTGCCGTTTTATCTTTCAGAACAAAGATACAAAAACGTGAGATATTCTTATTTATTATCGTTGAATAATTAACTTCAATTCATGCATAACGGTAGCATTTCATGTCTCGGAAATGTTCTCCTATTGTCCGTGCTTCGTCTTCAAGTGCTTTCCTTAATTTTTAATGAAACTGTTAAAGAGTATTAAAAAACATTCCTAAGAAAATACGCGCGCTGATTGGTTAAAAATCGTGTTTCTATTTAACAATTAGATTTTTAGCTCGAGATTTCTATGAGGTGATAGTTGATGAGGCCGAAGGCCGTATCAACTATCACCTCATAGAAATCATGAGCGAATAATCTAATTGTTTTAGTAGAATTCTAACCAAATTTTCCTTCAAATAACGATTCCAATTTTTTCTGGTCTTGGTATTAAACTCCACGCTGTAGAGAGTTCGCGCGGACTAAATTGTGACTTTCGAGCGTTTTTAATCCAAGAAACCGTAAATGCCCTTCTTTTACTCTTCTTAGGAATTTTATTTCATTTGTTTCTAAATGTTCTTGCAAAACTTCGAAGAAACGTGGAAACGTTGCATTTTGTTCGACCACACCAAGCCACTGAACACTAATGGCTGAGAGAGTGCAATGGTTCAGCCAATCAGATTACATCATTTTGCATTATTGTACTAGTACAATTCTACTAAAGCCTGATAGAAACACAGAACTAGCACGAGCTGTTGACGTAATGATGGCGCGAGCAAAGAGAATTTACATTTTAATAATCAAAGTTAACAGTTTATTTTCCTTACTTTCGTCGCGATCGCGGTGTTTCCTAAAAGAAATAGAAAACATGTCCTCCGTGTTTCTATTGAGTTATAGATCTAGAAACATTCGTGAAAGTTTGGGAGAACTCGAAAAAGCTAAGGAAACACTCGCTTGCGGCTCGTTTTCCCACAACATTTCTCGTTCTCCGAAACTTCCACCCGTGTTTCTATTTAACAATTAGATTATGAGCTCGAGATTTCTATGAGGTGATAGTTGACTAGGCCGAAGCCGAATCAACTATAACTTCATAGAAATCAAGAGCAAATAATCCAATTGTTAAACGTAACTTTGCGCTTGAAAAAGATCGTTCGGGTTGAATTGTCATTTAAAATTGAAGTTGTGTGTGCGCGCGCATCAGTTTTTTTCAATATTTTAAACTTTTTTAAAAGTTAAGAAACCGTAAATGTCCTTCGTTTAGACTTCTTAGGAATTTAACTGTCCATTCGCATCAAAATTTTCCTCCAAATCTTTGAAAAACGAAAATAGGGTCGTCATTTCCTAGACGACCTCCAGCCACTGCACACTAATGCCTGATAGTGTTCGATGGCTCAGCCAATCAGATTACAGCATTTGTTTTCTGTTTCTTAAAAAACACCCGTGCCGCTGAATCTCTCTTTCACCGTGTGAAATTCGTCAAAGGATTCATTTCCTTTCGCTTATCAAGTCATGAAATAACCCTCTACGTAATGTATTATGAATGCACAATTCTCAGCGTGTGCTTTTCCCGTAATCTGCAATGACCGATAACAAACTTAACGTACCACAGGAAGTCAGCGCCAAATCTGTTGTACTGTTTACAAGAGCATTTTTTTTTTTTTGGGGGGGAGGTGGGGGGGGGAAACAAAAATAAAGAAAAAAAAACTAAAATAAACGCATTTTTGTGCCAATAGAAGGTCAAAACCAAGTATTTGGGATGTTAAATTTGGCCACTGATTATTTCAGTTTCACCTGAGGTTAAGATACGTTTCATGTTAGTGGATGCCGGAGCGAGAAAATTTCACTCCTTTATTAGATGAAATCAATTTGCATTATTCTCATCGCGACACTCGGAAACCATATTCGAAGTACAACATCAACTCGAAGCAATGTTAAGATCAAAGATAGAGAGTGCATAACAACAAGCCTTGCGCTCAGTGTGTTGTCAGACTTAAGTCACCAAAAAATGGAAGAACGGGATTTGTGTACCGATTTCATTATAAGGAGTAGTTCTAATTTTACTTTTACAAACATAAAGAACATGAATGTGAAAAGTGAAAACTAGAAGCGCTGTGTTCTGAAGAACTAAAGCACCACCCTTTCATGTTTCAGGGGTTTGCAAGACGCAAACCCTTTAGTGACGGTAAACATGCCACTCTTTTCCGACGCATCCATCCCCTCACTGACTGATATAATGTTCTGCTCAAACCTCACTGCACAATCTGTGACACATTAAAGCGACCACTTTTGTGAGTTCGTTTGCTTAAAAAAATATACTTTCAATTTCCAACATAATTATAAGCTTTGGTTTTCCTTAGACGAGGCCTAGGAAGATATAGAGTTCGATTTAATTCGTCTTTGATGATTGAAAAGCAAAATGGATGGTGGTTTTCATTTTTTTTTCCGTTCTATACCTTAAGCTACCTTACCTGCAGATGTCAGCTGAAGTAAGTTCTCTGTAACTTCTCCTCAGTTTGCCGGCTTTTGCAGCGTTCTGTCCATTCTCTTACGCTGTTTGACCGAGCTCTACTCAAAGCAAAATGTGAAAGTAAACATTTTGTGACGTAGGCAAACGAAACCTGTTAATTAACGCGATGTTGCATGTATTCAAAACAAGGATATGAAAACTTCTAATTAAAGTCTGGAACTTTGAATATACAGTTCGCTTACATTTATATTTTCTTTAGTTGCTGACGGGTAGTTTGTTTTGTTTAGAGAAAGCTTTATTTTGCGTTCTTATTTTGATTTTGCTTATACATAAATCAGAAAATAAGATAATAATAATAAAAAACTAATTACCCGGAGTACATATCCGTATTTCTTGCAAAAGCAATACGTCAATGTCAAAAATTAAGAAATATCCAGCTGAATTATTAGTCATTGCTATCATTTTGAATTTCTGTTATCCGTTTTTGTGAATGCGAAATTCCACGATGTGGTTTCGTAGCCCGGTTTCTGGACATTTCAGGACCCTAAACTGCAATGTAAGAAACCTTTTTTTTTTTTTGGTTTAATATCTCGGTTTCCTGAACACTAAACGTCTACCCCTGCAATTGCCAGCTTCTTCTTACAAAAACAACCAATATTTGAGATCATTTCTGATTTTCCGACCCTTGCGACAGAAGGTCCCTCGTTATTAAGCAATTGGCACATCGCCGCAATAATCTTCGAAACAAAAATTACCGGGCATAATAAAACCATGGCAGCTGTTTTTTTGATGTCATTTTTCTCATCCAAGACTCATGGTGTATTATATCATTATACTGCTGATGACAAAATACCGCTCAAAGAATTTTAAACCAAACAGGGCGGTAGTGAACAAGAACCTTGCCGACTTGGGTATTCTCTATAAACCAATAAACACGTAAACTACATGACTAGTATTAATTTGACAGAAATTTACAACGAAACTTTCACTATTGATGTTGATGAGCTTAAATCCTGGTCAATAAGTTAATTAAAAAGCGCTCACTATGCTGTAAACTACATGATATCCAGAGAAGATCTAGACATGGTCGTATTATATTATTCACTGCTGTGCCATGTATAACGAAGTTAATGGTATAACCTTATTATTATAATTCCATTCAGTTAGAGCGGCAGGTCTTTTTGCCAGAGTTCTAGCTGTTCTGTTGACTCCGATCTGCTGCTTGTAAATGCGATAGCTGAGTGCCAAAGGATTTATTTACTAACAACATAAGTTACATTATCTTTGTTTCATCAAAATCACAAATTCAGACAAAAGTTTATCTATATTTCGATCACGGCAATGACGAAATTCACAATGTACTGAGTGTTTTACTTCTTTTGATAAGTTTAACCTTAAATTATGGCTGAACTTATCAAAAATTGTCAATTGTGGCTATAGAGCGTTTTCACATGACGTCACGGCAGCCATATTGTTGTTCCAAAGCAATGGAACGGCGGCCATGTTGGTGTACCAAACCAATCCTGTGGGAATTGAACTCTTTTCGTATGTAAACACTTTCTTTTGTTTGTTCCAATAAATTTGCATAGCTGCTGGCCAGGTGAGTGAAAACGCTTCATAGCGATAGTTGCGGTATATTTGTCTCTCCGGGCGAAAAAAGGCGAAACGATTCACCACGGAAAACAGTGACTCTCGAACGAAAGAAATATAATTTTATTCCCTAAGAAACTGGTGTTTTCACCTACTGGCTTGCTACTTTTAAGCTATTATAATAATACAATTTTTTATACAGGTAGCACACTAGGTAGCACACTAGGTTGAAAAATATAATAAACGACAAACAAACAACCAATCTGACGAACCAACAAAAACGCAAATATGGTCGGAACAAAATGAAAATAGCTCACACTGTATACGTAACGAGAATGTTCCTGTTTGTAAACATCCATTGTATGATATCAATTCACTGACTGGCAAATCCCACTGTTATCTACGCCCCTTCTACGACCTCAATGACTTATTATTCTTTTAATCGTTTAGTGCGAGTGGTCGAACCCGAGGAAAATTGCACAGTTACAGATAACTGTGTACGCCTAGTTCATAGGACGCCTGCAGTGACAACGTAAGAGGCCGAGGAACCCTCTACGAAATTCTTCATTCATTCCCGCATAAAGAATAGGATTTACAGAACTGTTCAAATACACCATGGAACTGCCCAATGTTAGAAGCGCTTTAATATACTGCCAATTCTTCCCAGATCCAAACTCGTACCATAACCACACCACCTGGTTGGGCAGCATACAGATGGCGTAAAGGAGCACCACCGTCACCAACATTTTGACGATCTTGGTTTTGCGCTCCAGTCGCTGAATTGCCTTACTTGGTCCACGCTTGGGGCTGCGGGGAGACAAAGCAAGTTGCATTTGATTCAACCCAGTGGAAAACTTCTTGTCGGGAAGTGGCGATCCTGATATAGAATTCACGTCGCTGCCATCGGCAGTCAGGAAGCTGCTGGACGGGCCTGGTCGAGGTGATGGAATAGATTCCTGGATGCCTGCCTTTCCGGAGAAACGAGCCGCTTGATCTCGTAGCTTTAGAACCACTTTGGTGTAGGCAAAAGCAATGATTACGAGTGGCACGATAAATTGGATGATGAAGAGTCCTAGAGTGTACACGCGCCTGGTGACGGTGCTCGGCCACACTTCTTCGCAGTAGTTGTCCTTGATTGACAGCACCAACAGATAGGGTATGACGAGCACAAAGGACACTGACCATGTGATTGAAATAATTATGGTAGTTTGGAGTAAAGTGAAACGAGGCTTCCAGGGATGAACAACAGCTCGATACCTGTGTGATCAATGGGTAAAATATTGTTGTTGTAGGTTAGATAGAGCATAGACAACATAAACAAATAACTGACTGAAACAGCTGGTCGTTGTAATGATAGCAACATTGATAATACATTTTTTAGAAAATGTTGTCTTGGTAAAGATTTGATGCTAGGTGTTACTAGGGGTCCACAAAGAGCACTCGTCAAATTTAAAACCACAATATTTAACGGTTCCATTTTTAGATGAAAAGGAAATATTTTTACCTGTCATAACTGATGGCTACAAGGGTAGCTGAGGAACACGTGGTCACTGACGTCATAGTAGGCCAAAGAATTTTACACATGGCAGACCCCAGGGGCCAGCGAGGATATGTGATTTTTAAAGCTGTTTCAAAGGGTATGCATAGCAGAGCGACAGTCAGATCTGCTACAGCTAGGTTCACCAATAAGAAGTTCCGGGTAGTACGCATGCGTGGAGTTCTTGCGATGACTAAACAGACGAGCGTATTTCCGATGACGCTGATCACAAAGATTGCTGTCAACATGGTGTACTGTAACACATTCAACCATTCAGGTTGGGAAACTGGCATCTCGTCACCGACACTGTCGTTTATTGTAGAGTTGGTGGCTATTATTGAGGGCATAACGTTCCAGACAGTCTTTAGTATAATCCTCTGATTAGGTTGTACGTCTCTCTTGTTCTGTTTCAGCGGTTTGCCATTCTTTACTAAAGAATAAAGAAAATGGGAAGTTGAGATTTACTGCAAAATTGAGATTGCAAACTTCGTCAGTCAAAGATTTATTCAGGAGGGAAGTTGTCAACGGCTGTATTTTAAAAGGGCTGCAAAGTTCATTCTTAACTGTGGTCCAATTTTCAACTGCTGCCATAAGAGCTACCCATGAATCCGCCGTGCTAGTTAAACACTTTACAGAACAGATAAGAAGCCACAATATGGCAACGCAGATCTAGGTGATCTGACGTATCTGGACAGTTTAGTATCATTTTTTTTTTCCAGAACAGCGAGCCGACAGTGCTTTGACCGGTTTTGCCAATAGCAGTCGTTCAAAAAAGAATAAGAAAATCGGTATCTAATGTGCATGTTGAGCCTAGTGAGGAAAACATAGACAGTACATCACATACATCATTGCTAGGCAATAGACAAAAGTATTTTTAATGAAGCTTCGAGTAACCCTATTTGCATATTGGTGAATATTAACGTATTGTTAGACATATTTGGACGCGTTATATGGATGACAATCACTATTTGTTGGCTGATTTAGTTGTATTCGAATCTGGTTGCTTACAAACAACCGACCAGTTGGCAATCAATTTCACTGAAAGAAACCAAGTCAAACAATGAAATAGTCAAAAACAGGAGAATTCGTGCGAAGCATCATCATTTAAAAGTCTTTCCTGTGGTGAATATACATAATTATTCCTTGAGTCCCAGCTTACAATACGTTTTGCCCAGAACAATCTTTTCTAAACTAGGAGGCACAAAACTACTACATACCGGCTTGCCTACCGCCACAGCGTCAGTGAACTGTCATGCTATATAACATCAGAAGAGGCTATCAAAGACACCGGCAACACTAGGCGACACGTCTTTTACAAAACACCCACATGGCAACAGCTGCTCTCTCTTGTCTTACCTATTTTTAAGCTTAGCTTGGCCAATTCTAATTTGTTCTAACGCGTTCAACAAGAGGCCAAATGGCTTTAAATTAACCAGTTTGCGATCATCTGGTTTTGTAATTATATGTAAATGACCATAAAAAGTTGTCCCGCTTTTTAAAAAGTAATTTATCGGTCATTTAAGTTACAAGAGCATTTGGAAGAGGTGTTTTCATTCGCTGGAGGAAGAGCTTTGTGCACTATCGTTAAGTAAGAAACTCTTTGTCCTTTGAAATCTTAGAAAACTTTAATTCTGATAAAGTTTAGATTTTAACGTCGCTCAAAATCCTACCTTTAGGGGCTTACAGCCAATTTGTCTAACTTATCTTATCCAGAATATAGTAAATATTAATCAATATTACTAATTTATTGTTGCCTCAGTTTTCAATCTTGTTTCATTGTTTTCTAAAATCCAAATTACGTTTTCATGTTCTCAAACTCTAAATTGAGATAAGCATATACGGTTATAAAATAACTAAATCGAAATGGGAAGTATTATAACCTCACTATTATTCAAAACGCTAAAAAGGCAGACACGCTACATGTGCCTATCTAAGTTCTCAAACTTTGTTGATGTTTTCAACTTGTGAGGGCATTTTTCTATTAACTGGCTGCTTTTGCTACCTTACAGTCGGGTTCATTTAACGTAGAAATGGCACATTTTTACGATTTTCTTTATTTTTTATCCACACACATGTCTAATTTAAAAGTTTGCAGTTGCAATGAATCCCATTTTCTAATACTCATGTCCACCCTACCATTGAGCATGCAAATGGTTTAGTGCGATAATCAGTCAGTAACGTATACTAGGGTAAGCAGGTTCTGGTTCAAAACCTGCAGGAACGCCCCTGCTACGCTACAAGGGCGTCTGCAAACGAGACTTGAGGGCAGGCAACATCGATCCACCAATTTGGGAGGCGGTGGCTGAAGAACACAGTGACTGGAGAAGTAGTCATGCGTTCAGAGGAGTGAGGTGATGAGAGAACAGCAATGGGAGAGAGGAGATAGCGCAGACGGCAAAGGGCAGATTCCTGCTCTCAGAGCCAGGCGCGATCTTCACCACAGACAACTGCAATAGAGCCTGTATATCTAGAATCTGCCTGTACAACCACAGCAGGCGCTGCAACTCAACCACAAACTGAATCACGGAGCAGAGTTCCATTGTCTTCCGAGACAGAAGAACGCCAACAACAGCAAAACAGCATACACTGTATTTGGACAGCTCAGGAAATACATCAGTCAGGTGGTGAATTTGTTATCTCCATTTTTCTCGCGACATCCAACGCTCAAGCAAATTAACCGTCTTCAACCTACTCCCTCGCTCAACTCGGTCATGGTACAAAAAGTCAAAGTTAACACATCGTCTTCATTATTTAACATGTTGCCAAGTATTTATAGCAGTGCAGTTTACTATATCTCATTTGAAAGGGCGCAAGATATGCTTTCACACAAAACTAGGTTTCCCTCGCGAAAACTAACATAACTTTCCAAAAACTTGTAATCAGAACTTTGCAAAATAAGCTGAAATTTGCTTACTATCAACATTCCTAAAATTGTAATATTTCCTTAAAATCCTATCAGGATTCTTTTAATGATATACAATACCACAAAAAACTACCCTACCACTACCAGACTACAACCTGTACTTACATTATGCAATTACTATGCTGCACTGGTAATGCAAAGCAAAGTAGAAAACAAAGCATAGAAAGACTTATTAGCGAAAAAAACTTCCACGCTTCATTAACTGTACAATATGTGTATTCACAGAGTTTTGCTAATTTTCATTGACAAGATATTGTCTAGCTCAACAATTTCTTTCGTGTTAGTTCATCCTATACACATTGTCTACATTACACATTACACTGCATAAAGATATACTAGACAGTTCTAGCTTGTTGGAGTAAAATTAATACAGAAGAAACTATATTCCCTAAAACGTAGCAAAAAACAAAAACAACAAAAACAAAAACAAAAAAAAGATCGAGACTGCACAGCAGAACAAGAGAAGAAATAAAGAAGGGAGATTTTGTGTTTATATGTGATGTTATACGCGATTTTATCTGTAAAGTCAAATCCTATGACGATGTTAAAGAGCAAACATTTCTATTGCAGAGCCTAAAAGAATTCCCTAGTTATAGAATATTGGGCGTTGTTTCATATCCTCTATATAGAAAATTTCACTTTTCATCCTGAAACCCTCGCGAAATTTTCAATCAACCTATATTAATTAAGTTATATCTACATTTTGTAACTGAAGGCAAAAAACCTTCATAGTCAATTAATTTGTCTCAGCTCTTCAAATATTAGTTTATTCGTAAGTTTATTCCGCGTAAGCTGGTAGCAGGGTCTCTCCTGTATTTAAAATGATCTTTTGTCCTCCATGAGATATATCATGGTATTTTGTCTATTTATATTCCTTCGCTGTTGATCAAGTTCCAAAGTAGTTTATAGAATTTAAGTAAGTCAATGTACATTTTTTATCTTTAAAATCGCATTTTGTAGGTTAAAAAGTTGTTGAGGTAATTTATTGTATTAAAACAATTTCTTAATATATTATAACTCGACGAAACCGCCAATAATTAGTTTCGTGTCACATTAAAAACACTACAAGTTCTATTCCTTATTACCCGCCTAAATACGTATAAATTATCTTTTTCCTTGGTATCTGAAATTCGTTTTGTTTTAAATTCGCTGCTCTTGCTAATGATTGCTATTCCCCGCTATTCCCTGCCTTCACTGCTATTCACTGCTCCGGTTCAAACTCCGCGGTTAAAAATAATCACTGAGCGGATATATTTCAAGAAAACCGAGGGAAAAGGAATGACAAAGGTCTAGACTGCCGCCATCTATCATGCACGACGAAGGCAACTGTAAAAGGATGGCAATGGTCCATACACTTGGGGAGATGGGATGGGAGATGGTTTGCCAAAATATTACTTGCTTCTTAGCTACGGGTGGAGATGAAGTTTTTATCACCTGGTTGAAAGGGAAACAGCTAAATACTTAACTAGAAACTTGATTTCTCCTTTCACGATGCAAGAATAGAAAGATTTAATTATTTGTTCCCTTCAGCTTACAACTGCAATTTATTATTACCTGTGCCTGATAGCGGAGAAAAAGATTATGGTTACAGGCGAATTTTCATGACTGTCGGCGTTCTGTCGATTTCCAAGTTACAATAAGGTCAAGATTTCTAAGACCATCATTAACTCATGTTTGACACAGAAGCGGAAAATTCAATATATTTTTTCAACATTTTGCACATTTTCAGATAAGGAAATATTCCAGAAGCCCGGACACAAGCCAATTAAAGTCTTCTTAATTTTAGGGGATTTTAGCTATCAACACAGTAAGAAAAGCATTCTCCTTTTCATTCGATCATCGCAAAAATCGCCTTTGACGATTAGAAGTACAAAGATCACGTTTTCAGTGAAACAGATAGAAATTAAAAATATATATATATTTTTTGTTTTTCATCTAAGCCCAGAGGGCAGAATATTTTAACACATTGGAAAGTTGGAGGATAAAACCCATTATAAAAGCAAACTAACGCAAAATTATGATGAAAATGACATATTTCTGCCGGCCAAACTCGCATCAACTTCAGTTTTATCCGACAGGATCGCGAAAAAGAAGGAAACCATTTCCTGCCGGAAATATTATTTCCCTGATTCATTTAACTTCGTAAAAATATTGGTTACATTTAAATCAGTGTGAATAAATGCGCATATCATATACCTCAAGAAGCTAAGAGTTCCTTTGAACTGTGGTGTAAAAGGGCCTTTCTTTCACGCTTGCTTCATATATGTGTTATAACTGACTTACTTTATGTAGCATAACATTTAAGGAAATGCATACAGATTCTTAATTCATAATTTTAAAATACCTGCTTTTAAAGAAGATCGACTTACCATGTCAAGGTGTGTACTTTTTCAAATATAAAGGCTAACTTGTGCATGAAAAAAGCAAACTCAGTAAATTGTTTCATTATAATTACAATTTTCAATATTTTTTTTTAGTTTACCTCGTAATTACTAAAGACCGCGAAACTTTAAAGTCAACCATTTTTTGTTAGCAAGACTATGCAACCACAGCATGTCGATAATGCTCTACGTCTTAAAAAAAAGACACTAACCTGAATATTTCTCGGTGTAGCAATAGACGAAGTGCGTAGTATTTGGCTCGTGTATTTCCGAACGGGTCTGTATCCAAAATTGTATACCTTGGAAGCATGAATTCCTGGTCAGTGTATTTTCGTACGTGCAGACGTCATAACCAGTAGGAGTACACTACAATAGGTGTGAGCAGTTACGGAACAATTCTTAAGCCAACAATATTATTTAAATACCTAAGATATTACTTACCAAAGAAACTTCGCCGAAATCAAAACAAAAGTTGTCAACCTGTTTTAAGCTGACAACTGGAATCTTCCGTTTTGCGATAAGCGTACAAAACTGAATTGAAATCAGCAAACACTGACAACAATACGACGTGGTGATGATGAAATACCATATGCTAATTCATTATTTTACGGCTTAAGTCACCTAAAACAATGTAAAATTTTTATTTATTAAGGTTCTACCCAGTTGTCAAAAAAGATCCCTTAAGAGGAACAGATTGTGTCATTGGCATACAACATGTCAGCCCGAACTGACAGAGCTCGCGTTATTCCGGCGTTTGATTTTAAGTAACTGCTATAGCATAATGATATGCTCTCATAAAACAGAATGTCTTTTAATGTAGAAAGTAAAGGTGACAGCAGGATTGCCAATTTATGTAAGCCCTAATTAGAACCCTTTTGTTCCCTTTTTGTTCCTACCGTATGCACAATATTGAAAGTAAATTAATGTTTGCCTAAAGTAAAGCAAACACAATCATTGAAGGCGCGACAAGGCTATCTTAAAATGCCCTTTACTAGATGAAAGACGGTCTCTCGATACAGGAAAAAGCCTAGATAATGTAATGTTTCCCTACCAAATACATTAATATTCACATTAGCATCACTGTCCTCTTTGTCATGAGGTCGTGACTGACGTACACAAAAGGAATCTTAAAATAAAGAAAACAGCAATGCCAAGTAAAGCAGTTTAGAATGTAACATATGAATCGTTAAATGGCATGAGCAGCGGGGCCCGCGGGTTCCAAACAAAGGAAGGCTCAGGGCTCAGGGGCTGAAAACTGAGGGGCTCCAAGGGTCCTAGAACGAGACAGAGGGGCTCTAGGGTGATTGTTTATATATATATATATATATATATTAAAAATGATAAATATATATGATATATATATATATATTACAAAAAAAAAATTTGAATTTTTAAACCTTCAAAAATTGTGGAAAAAAAGCCAACAACCTGAATCGGTTAATGCGATGAGCCTAGTAAGCGAGAAGTAAAGGTTATTTCAATTCCCTAGTTGACCCAAAAATCAAATGAGAATTTGGGTGATTCTCTTACATTGCAGAGATCATGAAACCCGATGGCTGGATCCACAAGTGCACGGTCTGGTTTTGGAATTCATGATCAAGTCATTTTCTCGCCATGTAGAGGGAATACTGGGTACGAAACATAGATTATAATCCATCGAATATTTTCGCTCGCTTTCGATTGGTCTAAATAAGTCACGCAACTAAATGCACGCTAGCTAAAACAGGGAAATATCCGAATGATATTTCCCAATTTTCTGAACCAGCGTTTTGCGGTAAATATTCAATTAAGAAGGATAAACACAATGACCTCCAAGACCATTTGACTTTGAAAATATGTTCGGATAGCTGTCCTTGGACATAACCTGTTCTTCGAAGCGTCGCTCTCAGGAAACTATTCACTTCTCGGAATAGATAATTTCCACGGACATTTGTCCGTGCATATTTTCGCACCAAATGGAGGCTGTTTGTTTATATCTTCTTTCCCGTGCCCAGGAAGCTAGAAACGTTTCCAGTGGATTAAAGAGTAAAAAAACTAGAGATTGAAAATTTAAATTTTGTACATCATGAAATAAAGGGGAGGGGGGGGGTTAATCCGTTTGGAAGATCTAGCTGATCGAGGTTAGAGTTTTTCACTACCTTAATTCTAGTCTACTGAGCTGAAATTGCGAAAAACGAGACAAACTCCATGACACTATATTTGAATTCCTTTTTTTTTAATGGTCCAGGAACCAGGTCAAAGTTAAGTTGTTTTAAAGCGTTAGCCACGACCAGTCTAGTAAGTAAATAAGTGAACCTTTATTTTTTCAGGGTAACTCTGTCAGCCCTATAAATAAAGCTGCTACCAATTCACATACATGTAGAGGCCCTAATAGAATTAAAAATTAGAAATTTATTAATCTTACAACATGCTAAAAAATTCGATAAAAATAGTTTAAAAGGTTAAAAATACAAAACTACGTCTTACAATATGCGAAAACAAAATCGATAAAAATTTATAATTTAAAAGGTTTGAAATATAAAACTACTTAGATTAAAGCTAAAATTCCATATACGTAAATGGCAAATTAAATTTACATACTTTTAAAACAGTTATAAATTTGACATCCAGAATAATAAAAAGACTCTTTCGCTGCTTCAGTCCTCTTGGCACAGTTTACCGGCCTGCCTTGTCTGTCGGAGCGAGACATCTCGATTAAAGATAAAAGAGTTTTTAAAAAACCCTGATACTCTTTGCCACCAATGCATCTGAGGACTAAATTATATACATGTTTCTTGCGCCCATCTTCCAACGTCTCATACGCAAGATTTTCGGCGATAAAATAACAATTGTAACTTAACATTCAAGTCCAGAGACATTTCATAATGATTCAAAAATGGTTGACTTGATGTTCTTGTGGATGGTTTATATAAAGCAGGAGTCAGGACATTCTGCTGTACATGTAGAATACTCCAGACTGCAGTCATAACAAGCGCTCATCGGTTCACACTGCGACATGCATTCCGCCCAATTAGAGAGACAACAATCCGAACAAGCATCTCCTTGAGGTCGGCAGTGGACGGGAAAAATGCTGGATACCAAGAGAAGGAACACTAAGACCGTGATAACAGCAGCTTTTGTTGGGTTCTAAAAATGAATAATAATAATAATAATAGTAATAAAATGACTTAAGTCTTTTTGAAAATTAGATTAAATGATTTGGGTTTCTATCGCCTGATCAGCAAGGGTGCGGCCAGAATCAGCTATTACGGGATTGAAACGGAGAGCAATTATTCAGGACTGTATCGAGTAGAGGTGTTAGGAACTAAATGTTAATGGAAGCTTGAAGTTTGTCTGGCTGCGATTATCAAGCGGTTTTCACTTGTCGGACGGGATTAGAAACATGTGCTTTTGTCAAAATGGCGCCGGCGTGTTTCATTTTCAATTTGTCGTTAAGTTTTCCCGACCAGGACGGTGTCACTCAAAATTCTCTATGCAGCACATAACGAGAACAACGTTTCTATCTTTGAACAATGTAAAGTTGCATTTTTCTGTCCGATCTACGTATATTTTGCTTCGTATTGGTGCGAAATATTTTTTTTTGTCATTTCATCGTCTAGGTTTTACCTAACCATACTAAGCCTAAGCGTGGGTTGAAATAAATCTGTTAGAGTTATTGAAACGTCTTTCTTGTGTTAATTTTCTTTGGCTTTATACCGCGTCACAGAAGAAACTAATTATATGGTGCCTAAATGCTTAAAATATGACGTGGTGATTTTACACTTCATCAAATGCAAGATAATCTGGTAGCCGTTCACTACTGGCGCTGCGAAGACTCCTTTGTACTGAGCATCATTTGACAGTTTTAATTAGATAATACTGTAGTAGCTTTGGAGAACACTATGATTAACACTATTTCGTTCGATGGCCAGTGAACTTTGTCAGAGAAAATCTTCACGTAGCAATACAAGTAGTTATGCTTATTATGACTATTATAAGATCTCAGTATCATCAAGATGGAAAACAATTTTATTCAATTAAAAAAAACAGCACCAATCTCCAGTCGCGCGAAAAGAAAAAAATCGATAGTGATGTTCACCATACAGCATATTTTCATGAGTTTGCAAAACTATTTCTTGCTAGATCCTCATCGCTTCCATTAGAACCGAAATAAGGCAACTACAGAGTCGTTACGACATTTCCTCCTAGAAAGGAAAGCCGATGCTTAATATTTGCTCCAACCAGTTCCATCTAGTAACTGGTCTCTTCAAAAAAATCTGGGATTCATTTCTGTTGCTTGTAGTCACTTGGTTGTGGAGCCGACATTATTGAAACTGACCTTTTAGGTTCAGACAGTTTTTGACCGTAATAACTGATTGCAGGAAGAAGTAAAAGAAAAAACTATTTCTGCATACCTTCATTTTTGCCCTCTCCTTGCCCACTATGAACTGAGAAATAAAAGTACTACTCTGATCTTCGGTTGGTGGACTAAATTCTGCTGGAAACGAAACTTCCAAGTTTCCCTTTATATGCTTTTTGGCTCAGTTATGTTAAGTTTTTTTTGGCAACGTACAATGTAAATTTCGGTTTTACGTACATTCGGGCTATTTGTTTTATACGTTAAAGCACCATATTTAGGTCAGGCAACAGTCGAAGAATTTAGACGGTCATACCGCATTTCCTGTAAACATTTTCTGATTTCCATGGTTTCAAAACAAATAACGTGATTATTTCCTAGGGCTGGATTCAACTGATTCAATTGCTGATCCGACACCGGCTTTCTGATTGCAAAGACTTTATTCTGTCATTCGAACGCCAGTTGACTAATAAAAGTTCTAGTCAAACTTATTTGCATTTATTATGTATATTCCCCGATAGTTTAGTTTAACGTTAAGAAATAGATACAAACATATCATAGACTCATTAAAGTGCAAAAATATTTTATAACGTTTGTTTAAGCAATCTTCACAACCCACACACTTATTTGTCTAGTGGGCAAAATATTTGTTGGAGAAAAACGTGATTATCGAGCGGTTTAGCTGCTCTAATCCTCTGTTTACAAATACCGCTATCGTCTTCTCGGAGGAAATCTTTCTAAATTTAGCAAAATTACCCCATGTGAATGTTTTAAAAGCGTTCAGTCGGAACAAAATAAAGGTCTGAAAAAAAAAAAGCGAGGCGCGAATTTGACATTATGTGCTCTAGGAATGTAATGATAAGCTGAGAGTTGAAACAAGCTCACCCTAGAAGTTTAACCGTCTCTGTCATCGAGTTAGTGAAATCACGTCAAAACTTGAGCACGAAAGCAAACACAAATATTCATGCAAAATGTATTTCTGAGTTATTTGGAAATTTCAAAATAACCATGTTGCGTGCTATTTTTAAAATCCTCGCCCCCTTAGGCTGCAAACGGCAACGGTTTATCTTACTAAGCTGATTCGACAATTGTCGGCAATATTTTACGGCACGAGCAGAAGATTCCATGATATCCTTAAGGGATTAAAAGGTTATCGTAATATTTAACGCTTGAAAGGGGTGCGTTACATTATTTGTTTTACCTACTTATTTAGCATTCTTTACATTTTCAGGTGCATGTCATTGCTAGTTTCATAAATAACTTCAGGTTCAAATACTGAACAAGCCCTACCGTTTGTTACTAACGCCTTTTCTGAAAAAAAAAAAAAAAAAAAAAATGGACCATCAAGCTCTTAGACGCTCCGTGGACTCATTCTTGGAGAAGAGGGTTGAATATGAAGTAAAATACTTGAAAATACTCGCTGAGGTCCTTAAAAGTGTAAGGGCAGTGACAGTGTTTTATAAACGTCCGTTACCAGAGAGATTCTTGACTAGGCGACTCCCGTTATTGAGATAAATGCTTCATAGAAGCCTCACTTATCGCAGCCGCTACAATATGTTCCGCCGATTTGCGTCCATTTTGCTGATACTTCCCCTGTTAACAATGAATTTCGAACTTCTTGAAGAGGGTATTTCGTTACTTTTTCATCAAGCCTGGAGCAAAACGATATTTGCCTCATTCATTCCGTACTGGTGATCCAGACCCAGTGATCACGGAGCTAGTCACTTCATTAATTATAGCAAGTTGAAAAAATGTGCACATCATATCGGTTCATAAATTTGTGTCTAGCTAAAGAATGCAAATCAATTGAAGGTGAACTACGTCACTGACAAGTCTGAGTTAATGGCAAGGGCTGAATCAATTTGTGTGACTTACTCAACTTCGGATTCTCCCAAACACAAACTTTGCTGGTTTCATGCCACGTTTGTCCCATTTTCAAATGATTGATTTTACGATGAAAAGGTTTGACTGCAGGAGGGCTTGAGTATAATTTAATTTGTTATTCGCCATACCCTTGAGCTCGAGGGGTCCAATTATCGATAGAATATTTCGTGGTCATAACTGAACGAACGACCGATAGCTACAGCTAACGTGACTGCTTGACTCTGGGGGAAACATGATGACCAAAAACCAAAGAAAACAAAACGAAAAGTGGATCTAAAAACAAGGTGATACCCTTAAAGGATGGAACCGATCACCTTGAGGCCATCGGCCATTGGGCACCGAGTGACTATCGAGTTCCATAACAAAGCTAAATGACGGGAACATTCCTTAACATAAAAAGAACGGGGGATCATAAAGTAAGTTTAACTTTCCATTAAACACGTTTAAAAAATGGATTAGGTTTCAAGTAAAAGTCCAAAGCCTTATTATGCCGACTAAATGGCTTGCTATTCAGGTCCGGACGATCAATAGGGAACGGAAAGGCGACCGAATTCAAGACTTAACTAAGCTAGACATGAACCGCCGTAGAACCTGGGTCACAGGCATCGGTCGAGACGATTCGTATTCAAGGCGGACAACTAGACCCACAGTGAGTTAATGTCTGTAAAGTGCTGCTCATTAAGAGAATACTATACATGCTGTAGTTGTCGAGGCACCATTCGTTGACCCTCAAATTGCTTCAAAAGTTTCGTTTTTAAGTAGCTTATAATCTGCACGAACTGTCGAGTTCCGTGGCACCGAGCTCTTGGAGGAGTTTTTCTTCATTCTACTCCCGTAATTAAGAGATGGAAACAGCAAAAGCAATTAGTTCTACAACACAAGAGCGTCGGTGAAAACTAACATGGGTTATTGACCAAGCGTGAGGTCAAGATGGCTGGATATTGGCCAAGTTCTTTATTGCGTGTTGATGGACCGCCGAAGGAGCCGAGGTCCATAAACACGCAATGAACGAGATAGGGCCATCTTGCCCCCTCAGGTAGCAAATCACAGTGCAGTATTCAGTTCAGCGGAACTAGCCATATAATAGACGTTTATTGGTAGCTTTATTTTCTATTTAAGGTTCTCTATATAAGGCATACTTGGAATTACGTTTTCGCTCAAACAAGCAAACTGGTAGAAAACTCTATTGATTCCGATAGAACTACCTCAAACAAAAGTTCAAACTACTAACAGGTCTGTTGAATAACAAGAAGTTCAGTAGCTCGCAAACCATTTACAACAAAAAGTTCAATTAACATTCGCAAATGAATCTTGAAGTCGTCAAAATGCAACCTCGTTCCCAGGCTCTTTCTACTTTTCACTTTTTCCCGCCAAACGCATTTGCATTCTTAAGGACGTTCGTGCGAAATTTTCCAGTCGATAGATTTTTTAAAACTTTTTACTGCGGTCAGATAATGAGTTACTTGTGTCGGAAATGAAAAAAAAATTGGGAAACACCGACTTCGTTACAGAGATAAAATGTATGGAAAACTACTCTAATTTTGAAAAATTGGCGCACGTAGTTCAGCATGATCTATAGCTACAAGGGTTTACAGTTAAAAATATCGAAGGTGAGTCAACGGAAACAAATGATCTTAGTCATATTTTGTAGAAGTGGGTCTGCTGCGTAAATGTTGCCAACTTTTTCACAAAACTTAACCCTCCAAGAGGAATTTGAAACCGCCGCACAGATAAACGAAGAGTTGAAAAGAACGGAATTCGATGGTGCATTTTCCAAAAAATACAAACTTGTAATGGATAGGTTTTCTTCATTTCTTCGCTAAACGTAGAAAATCAGTAGAGAAAATGATCCATCAAAAGAAAAATAGGGGTCATCGAACGTCCAAGATCTTTAAATCCAGGAAAAGCTGTAGCAATGGTTATCTGCTCTATTTAACAATTAGATTATTCGCTCTCGAATAATCTAGCTGCGCCCTCGTCAACTATCACGCATAGAAATCGAGAGCGAATAATCTAATTGTTTTAGTATAAATCTACCAGTCATTCAAAACATCATCCAAATCCTCTTCACAAACACTTTGAAAACGCCAAGAAGCGGCCGTCATTTTTTTAACAAGTGCACACTGCTACGCTAAATCACTATCTATCACAGAATAGATAGGGGGTAGCGTAGCCAATCCGAGAACGGCATTCGTGATAGAACGCTAGTAGATTTATACCGAAACAGCAGGATGAAACTGACCGTCCATCATCTGGAGTAGTGTACAGAATCAATTGCAGTCAGTGCGATTTTGTATGCTATGGCCAGACCGAAAGATCTCTGAAGATGCGGGTTTCCGAGCACAAACAGGCTGTCTTGATGTTCGATCATAACTCCAAACTTGCGTGTCATATTCACGAATGCCATCATCACATGGACTTTGAAAACGTTGAAGTCGTCGGACATGAGGCACATTACCATCAGCGGCTTTTTCTAGAAGTTTGGATGCCTGTAAAAGACCCGAACGCTGGGAATGATCACATAGTCATCCCTGAAGTTTACAAGTGCTTGGCACGCACTTAAAATTCTCTCGAGTCACGCGCATATACAGCACGCGCAACGTTTCAATTTTAAAAAAGTTTTTGAATCGCGCGTAACATCAAGCGATTTTTCAACTGATGAAGGCTTAACAGTTAGCCGAAACGTCTTGCTAAAATATACAAGTCAGTGACAAAAAACGACACTTTTATCGATTAGATTTATACTGTCTAACATTGTTTGTTTTATTACTTAGCGCGCGCGCTCGATGCATGACGTGGCGTGTGAATTTGCGTGCGCAGTAAGAGTACGCACAGACAATTAGCGCGAACGTCCTTCAATCTAAATTTTTGACAAGTTTATTTCAGCAAAACTTTCACAACGCGAGGAAAGAGTTTTGAAGGGAAAAAGCACCAAATGAAGGTTTCGACGAACCATCTTCCTCGGGCACAACATAAACGAAATGCCTTGATCTTGGAATTGTCCCAGAGACATTGATCGAATAACATTACGTTCTTCTCCATAGTTTTATCTCGTTCGAATCAACGGTGGTGTTTTATGCTTCAATTTCCTCCGATGAAAACGGTTATTGAATCCGGCTTCTGAGAACATGGATAAGTGCAGTTCTTTGGCAGAATGTTAAGCCAAGCCGCTTTCCTCGTAATTCTTCAACTGTTCCTTCAATTAACTTCCACTCCTCCTTCGAAGTTTTTTGAGCAATTTACTTAGCTTCCATTTCATCTTGAGTTTCTTGGGTCTGTTGCTGGAGCGACCGTCTGAGATAAGATTTTGCTTGCGAAATGAAGGCGGGTTTTTCACTGAGCAGGACCCTGGACAGCCATTTTGACATATCTTTAGTTCTGNTGTGTATAATTTAATTTGTTATTCGCCATACCCTTGAGCTCGAGGGGTCCAATTATCGATAGAATATTTCGTGGTCATAACTGAACGAACGACCGATAGCTACAGCTAACGTGACTGCTTGACTCTGGGGGAAACATGATGACCAAAAACCAAAGAAAACAAAACGAAAAGTGGATCTAAAAACAAGGTGATACCCTTAAAGGATGGAACCGATCACCTTGAGGCCATCGGCCATTGGGCACCGAGTGACTATCGAGTTCCATAACAAAGCTAAATGACGGGAACATTCCTTAACATAAAAAGAACGGGGGATCATAAAGTAAGTTTAACTTTCCATTAAACACGTTTAAAAAATGGATTAGGTTTCAAGTAAAAGTCCAAAGCCTTATTATGCCGACTAAATGGCTTGCTATTCAGGTCCGGACGATCAATAGGGAACGGAAAGGCGACCGAATTCAAGACTTAACTAAGCTAGACATGAACCGCCGTAGAACCTGGGTCACAGGCATCGGTCGAGACGATTCGTATTCAAGGCGGACAACTAGACCCACAGTGAGTTAATGTCTGTAAAGTGCTGCTCATTAAGAGAATACTATACATGCTGTAGTTGTCGAGGCACCATTCGTTGACCCTCAAATTGCTTCAAAAGTTTCGTTTTTAAGTAGCTTATAATCTGCACGAACTGTCGAGTTCCGTGGCACCGAGCTCTTGGAGGAGTTTTTCTTCATTCTACTCCCGTAATTAAGAGATGGAAACAGCAAAAGCAATTAGTTCTACAACACAAGAGCGTCGGTGAAAACTAACATGGGTTATTGACCAAGCGTGAGGTCAAGATGGCTGGATATTGGCCAAGTTCTTTATTGCGTGTTGATGGACCGCCGAAGGAGCCGAGGTCCATAAACACGCAATGAACGAGATAGGGCCATCTTGCCCCCTCAGGTAGCAAATCACAGTGCAGTATTCAGTTCAGCGGAACTAGCCATATAATAGACGTTTATTGGTAGCTTTATTTTCTATTTAAGGTTCTCTATATAAGGCATACTTGGAATTACGTTTTCGCTCAAACAAGCAAACTGGTAGAAAACTCTATTGATTCCGATAGAACTACCTCAAACAAAAGTTCAAACTACTAACAGGTCTGTTGAATAACAAGAAGTTCAGTAGCTCGCAAACCATTTACAACAAAAAGTTCAATTAACATTCGCAAATGAATCTTGAAGTCGTCAAAATGCAACCTCGTTCCCAGGCTCTTTCTACTTTTCACTTTTTCCCGCCAAACGCATTTGCATTCTTAAGGACGTTCGTGCGAAATTTTCCAGTCGATAGATTTTTTAAAACTTTTTACTGCGGTCAGATAATGAGTTACTTGTGTCGGAAATGAAAAAAAAATTGGGAAACACCGACTTCGTTACAGAGATAAAATGTATGGAAAACTACTCTAATTTTGAAAAATTGGCGCACGTAGTTCAGCATGATCTATAGCTACAAGGGTTTACAGTTAAAAATATCGAAGGTGAGTCAACGGAAACAAATGATCTTAGTCATATTTTGTAGAAGTGGGTCTGCTGCGTAAATGTTGCCAACTTTTTCACAAAACTTAACCCTCCAAGAGGAATTTGAAACCGCCGCACAGATAAACGAAGAGTTGAAAAGAACGGAATTCGATGGTGCATTTTCCAAAAAATACAAACTTGTAATGGATAGGTTTTCTTCATTTCTTCGCTAAACGTAGAAAATCAGTAGAGAAAATGATCCATCAAAAGAAAAATAGGGGTCATCGAACGTCCAAGATCTTTAAATCCAGGAAAAGCTGTAGCAATGGTTATCTGCTCTATTTAACAATTAGATTATTCGCTCTCGAATAATCTAGCTGCGCCCTCGTCAACTATCACGCATAGAAATCGAGAGCGAATAATCTAATTGTTTTAGTATAAATCTACCAGTCATTCAAAACATCATCCAAATCCTCTTCACAAACACTTTGAAAACGCCAAGAAGCGGCCGTCATTTTTTTAACAAGTGCACACTGCTACGCTAAATCACTATCTATCACAGAATAGATAGGGGGTAGCGTAGCCAATCCGAGAACGGCATTCGTGATAGAACGCTAGTAGATTTATACCGAAACAGCAGGATGAAACTGACCGTCCATCATCTGGAGTAGTGTACAGAATCAATTGCAGTCAGTGCGATTTTGTATGCTATGGCCAGACCGAAAGATCTCTGAAGATGCGGGTTTCCGAGCACAAACAGGCTGTCTTGATGTTCGATCATAACTCCAAACTTGCGTGTCATATTCACGAATGCCATCATCACATGGACTTTGAAAACGTTGAAGTCGTCGGACATGAGGCACATTACCATCAGCGGCTTTTTCTAGAAGTTTGGATGCCTGTAAAAGACCCGAACGCTGGGAATGATCACATAGTCATCCCTGAAGTTTACAAGTGCTTGGCACGCACTTAAAATTCTCTCGAGTCACGCGCATATACAGCACGCGCAACGTTTCAATTTTAAAAAAGTTTTTGAATCGCGCGTAACATCAAGCGATTTTTCAACTGATGAAGGCTTAACAGTTAGCCGAAACGTCTTGCTAAAATATACAAGTCAGTGACAAAAAACGACACTTTTATCGATTAGATTTATACTGTCTAACATTGTTTGTTTTATTACTTAGCGCGCGCGCTCGATGCATGACGTGGCGTGTGAATTTGCGTGCGCAGTAAGAGTACGCACAGACAATTAGCGCGAACGTCCTTCAATCTAAATTTTTGACAAGTTTATTTCAGCAAAACTTTCACAACGCGAGGAAAGAGTTTTGAAGGGAAAAAGCACCAAATGAAGGTTTCGACGAACCATCTTCCTCGGGCACAACATAAACGAAATGCCTTGATCTTGGAATTGTCCCAGAGACATTGATCGAATAACATTACGTTCTTCTCCATAGTTTTATCTCGTTCGAATCAACGGTGGTGTTTTATGCTTCAATTTCCTCCGATGAAAACGGTTATTGAATCCGGCTTCTGAGAACATGGATAAGTGCAGTTCTTTGGCAGAATGTTAAGCCAAGCCGCTTTCCTCGTAATTCTTCAACTGTTCCTTCAATTAACTTCCACTCCTCCTTCGAAGTTTTTTGAGCAATTTACTTAGCTTCCATTTCATCTTGAGTTTCTTGGGTCTGTTGCTGGAGCGACCGTCTGAGATAAGATTTTGCTTGCGAAATGAAGGCGGGTTTTTCACTGAGCAGGACCCTGGACAGCCATTTTGACATATCTTTAGTTCTGCGTTGCATTGTGAAGCACAAGCCTGCATAGTCTCACAACCCGTGAAACACGCATTCCACTTTCCATGACAACAGCTAGCACAATCTTGTTTCGAAAGGGACACAGTAATAAGAGTAACAGCCAGTGTCAACAGCAATGATTTCCTCATACCAAACATCTGGAAGTAAATAAAACGGCATTAAATAATTGGGGTTTTTTGTTTGTTTTTTCAGAGTTCGGCGTGCGCATGTAAGGTCCAAACATTGTCGTTTGTGTTAAAGGGACACTCAGGAGTTGCGCATGCTCGAGCTTTCGATCCAGAGTTTGAAAACGTCCAGCGACGATTTCAATCTCAAGGGCGAAACTTCCAATGGCGTCGACCAATGGAGACTACGCAATGAAAGTATTTTGGCCAGTTGAGCTAATTAGAAATCTGCGGAAATGTGGAGGAGAAAAAATCATTTGCATAAGTCGGTTAACGCTGACGAATTTATGAACTTGCCTTGATATCGCTGCAACCCGACAGACCGGAAACACAGCACGAGTTCTAAGTTATTAAAAAAAAATCAAACAGACCTCAAAAGAACTTAGTTTTGACAAATCTGCTTTCCCTTAGCTACAAAATAACACATTGCGTCAAAAAAAAAAAAGAAAATTAGCTTCGTAAGCAGACGCTCTTTGGGTTCGTCACGCAATCTTACGAACCCAAAGACCGTCTGCGTAGGAGGTAGTCTGCTGATCGCCGGTTTTTTTCTATAAGGGTCACTTAGACGAGTGTTTAGTCATCGCGAGCGCAAAAGGGAATAGGACTAGGGATAGTCTCCTCCGCAGCCGTTTTTTGGGATGTCACGCAACGCTCCCCTTTGAGGGGAGCGTTGCGTGACATCCCAAAAAACGGCTGCGGAGGAGACTAGGCTAGGGAAGAAGGCGGGACAAGTCGATATGTCGCGTCGTACACAGACGCTCTTTGGGTTCGTCACGCATACACATACTCCCATATGGTTGCTGTATAGGTATGTGCCGCGGGATACGGCATTGTTTTTGGACCGTCTTTTTGAGGTTTCCGACCCTTAAATAGGGTAACATTTTTGCCCCTGTTGGCATCATGTTCCCGGTGTGATCCTTAATAGGTCTGCCTAAATTGTATCAACTAAAATTCCACTGCCTATTATAAAATGCCCAGCTAAACGAAACACGAATTCTATGCTTGATACTTAACTTACAATGTTATAGAAACGAAATAAGTTAACCCGTTCACGCCATTCTTAGTTTTTGCTTTTTCCTGGAACAGGGTGTCATTTTTCGGGTTTGTGCCTTAATTCAAAATAGGGCATCAGTATGCGTTTGCTTCATCCTTAGATAGGGCAGGGGCTAGGACCCTTCGCGACACACACCTTTCCATAATTCAAGGAGAGCCCCCGGGGGAGGGGGGGAGGGCGGTTAATTTTCTAGAGGTGAAGGAAAAGTGCTGATCAAGGGTGGCCGCTTTGACTGTGATAAACAACCGTGGCGTGGACCTTTATGTAAAGCTCATGATTCATCATAATAAGAAAAAAGGTGCCAAAAATTACGTAATGACCGCAAAGAAAATCACATATTTTGTTGAAGAAAAGCAACCGTTCAAATTTTGGGACATATTCAAGGTTTAAGGACCTTAAAAATTTGTTGCAAGTTCTTAAAGTGGGCTTTTACTATTTTCAGTGTACTGATTGGTTTCTAATAAATGTACCCTCGGTAATACGATTTCACCTTGATAAAACCCGGGCATGGATCCAAGAAAGTTTCCAATCATTCAAGGATGGAGAACTCAGAACCATCGAACGTTGATCGGTATACTATCTCCTTTAAAAAAAGAATACCAATTAAAATAACCCCGGTAAATACGGTGCCGAGAGATAAAACTAAATGATCAAGAACCTTCCGATCTCAAATACAATAAAAGATTATAGTCTAGTTTCAAAAACAAAATGTTCGAAATATAGGGAAGTGAAAAACTTACCGCTTATAATTGTGAGCAGTACCCCGCAACTTCTAGTGTAGCACTCCGCCTGAATTATCAAATTTGGAATGAACCCTTTGCTTGGCAAGTGGTTTATATAACAAAACCACTACACTTGAATCACGTTTTCTAGTACGTGTAACTTGACAGATTGCGATCTTTGTGGCTTAAAATTTATAAGGTGATATCCGTGGCACCGGAAATGAAAGTGAGGGACATGATGAAACAATTAAACAATGGATGGATGGATAGATCATTCAGTAATTGAGTCATTCATATTTTGGTTTGAAAACTTAAAGAGTGGTCTAGTGAGGTACGTAACTTTTGGAGTTTTTTGGCAATGATATTTACCACTATAATCCATGCCCCTGCATTGATCGCAGCATGCGATCTTTGAATTTGGCTACGTTTCCTTCACATCCTTTGAGAATTATACTACGGGGAACAACATTCATTTGTGTGTGGCTGTCTGCTCTTCGTGTGTTTCTGCCGAAATTGAAGAAGAACATGCCATCAGTGTAAAGTAAGTAGTTTCCATTTACACGCACAATAACGTCAGCCGGGGGAGGTACTCACTTTTGTAAGCTATATGGCTTTATGTATATCAGATAGTATGGATTTTGAGCCTTTTTGGGGTAGGCGGGGATTCCGACCGTCTTACTTTGAAATATGGTATAGCTTCTGCACTGTAGTCAGCAGTGAGGTATAATTCTTAGAAAGAAAGGGTTTTTTTTAAATTCTTTATTATTCGTTTCTTAAGAAGCGCAATTTAAATAACATAAGGAAATTGAGGTCCTTCACTGTAAATATTTACACAAATCAATGCTCCTTAGTAGGGTTTGGCCTAAAATTAAGCACCAAATTTAAGTTAGGTCCAAACAAAAGGTGAGGAAAATTGCATAATTTGGTCTGAAATAGCGGTAAGGGTTTCAGAAAGAAACACTTCCTAGAGCACCACCAGGATTTTTAGGAAAGTACCCCCCCCCCTCCCCCCCTCGGACCTGTAATTCATGTTTTCATGTTTATGCCGAAACTCAAGTGCGACTTATCACCAGATATAAAGTAACTCGTTCCGGCTTTCACATACGATGATTACATCGTCAAGTAACCAGTTTCCTTTTACAAACAGTTCTTCAAGGTGTTGAAATCAACTGAAAACTCCTCTTCAGAATACTGAGCTTTATTGACGACGAAGTTGTAATCGTTTCACACATAAGTTTTTGGAATCGTGTTTTGCTGCGCGTGGTAGTGGCTAATTGTTAAGTCGAGAGATGATGCACGAACGCTCGTTATTGTTGTTGTGTCGGCAAAATTTTGCTTCAGGCTGTCGGCGACTGTTTAGCGGCCGACGGCAAATACCGACAACGTCAGCGACAGAACTTGGCAGGAAGGACCGTTACTGTTTTGAGAGAGGAAGAGNGGGGGGGGGAGATTGGGCAATTTCCAAATTCCTACACAACAAAAACTGCTGGGAAAAAAAAGGGCTCAAAAGGGATCATGGGGAGATAAATCGAGGAAGTGCTATCTACTATCCAGCTGTGTTTGACTTAAAGGTGAGAAAAAATTTCGTGTCCCAGAAATCGCCTCCCCCCACGCCCCACCCCCCACCCGCTCCCATTCAAAAAAATTAATGGTCCGTCTCTGATCATGAAAAAAGCATTTATTTGGGAGCACAGTTTCACTCACGCGATTCTCCAGACCAAACAACCTCGACAATACGTTTTTCTACCCACAATCATATTGATACTTCCGCATCAGCGTGACATCAGCAGTCGCATTCCGACACGCAACCTTTGATTTTGAACCGCATTAGAGAGTCTGTGGTTGACCATTATTTCTTTTCAAAGCATATGGATCAATTTATTCGCTGAGCAATCAGTTCTACAAAGTGTTAGGTAATAAGAAGGCCAAGTTGTACTTTTGTTCCTTGCCTAAATTCGCCTCAAGCAATTTCTATTCATTGAACGTTAAGTAAACCTATCATATCATTTCCTGAGAGAGAGCTTTCAAGTACTTTCAAGGCGTTAGAGGAACATTTGCAAATCATGAACCGACATGACGTTAACACCCTATGATGGAGTCGCAACAAAAGGTCTATGATACGCAGCTAAAAACAACAGTTAGGCAGTTTTCATTAAAGATTAAAGATTCGGCATGTCGATCTGTTATTTCGGTCGTTATATGTTGTTTCCGCGCGTGACTACGTGATGGGAGCGGCACAGGTGGTGGGAAGGAACTGATACCAGGGTCAAAATGGGGTTAAGAAACCACGATGGCGACGTCGAGGACAAAGTCGATTAAAAAAATGGGTTGGCATTTTACCTACGAATCTCGTGATACTCTAGAGTCATTTACTTTGTTTATCACTGTCAAAGCTATCACGAAACTGAATCTAGGACACATCGATTAATTCGAAATAAAAATTTTAAAAAATTAGCCGTCGTGGTTCACGTTCTCCAGACAACGCAGAATTTGATCATTTCACGCTGTTGTTTTGCAGAGGACAGCAAAGAAAAGTACCAAGAATTATAACGCACGTGCACGGCCATAATTGTTCTGCTCATTAGACCTTTTGTTTAGCAACGTTGGTTTTCTTGAGCTCCCTAAATGACCAAATTCTGCGTTGTCTGGAGAACGTGAACCACGACGGCTAATTTTTTTACATTCTTATTTCGAGAATTTATCGATGTGTCCTAGATTCAGTTTCGTGATAGTTTTGACATTGATAAACAAATTAATTAAAAAAATTCAGGGAACCGCGACATTCGTGGGTAAAATATAAACTCTATTATTTTCAATTGACGTTGTCCTCGACGTCGCCTTCGTGGCTTTTTAAGCTCCTTATTGAGACCCTCTGATACGGGTACAGTTGCAAATGGCAGTTTGCGACAAAATTTAACTTATTTAGGATGGACGGTTTATTTTAGTACCTGAATTAAGGTTAGCTCCGACAGGGGTGCTCGTAATACCTATTTGGGGGTTAAAAAAGCGGTTTTAGTGCCTCTTAGCATGGTCAGCGTCAAAAGGTCCACAGCGGTCGCTTTTGGGGTCCTTTCTAGGGCATTGAGCTGAAAAACATATGACGGAAGATATTGTGTTGTTTTAGAATTGGTGCTTCTTAGGTGCGAAAAAATTTCAAACCACAACAACAAAACAAGATCTTGGAACCTATTAGGGGTTCTTTGCAAAATTTCCGACAAACACCCCCGTCACCCCCCGGGTGACGCTGATCGCGTTGATTGTTAGCTGTGCAAGGGAGGGTGGTTTATCTAACTGAAGTATAAAGCAGCGCTATTTTTCTGCAGAAGCAAATGATATCATAACATAACATACTTTATTTCCTCACAATTTACATTTACAGGTAACATTAGAGCTTTGTTATAATTACAATATAACTTTTCGGTTGATAAATATTAAAGTTAGAGTATGGGGGTCAAGTAAACCATTCAGTTTAATCGGCCCAAGAGGATATCTTTACAAGACACCGAATTTATATGTGGCCTGGAGTACAAAGCAGTTTTATTTGATTCCTTGTTTGGCGTGTTTTCTGCTAGAGGGCCCAGAGGATGTTTTGTTGGTATCGGCTGGACATCGACAATTACGAAACGGATCACATACCAACCATGAAGCCTCGTCTACACGGACAATTTCTATGTGAGAATTTTTATTTGCTCGTGCACATGAGGAAAATTGGCCAATTTTTATGTGACAAATATTTTTGCTGAAAACCTAGCGTGTTAGCTTTTATGTGACAAATAAAAGTTGTCACGTACGTAAAATTGCTCGTGTAGACGACTCGTCACATGAAATGTGGCAAATATGTTCGGAAGCACCAAGATTTTCGGAGGCGACTAAGCAGCCCCGCCGTTTTTCTGCGTATCTCTGCCATCCAAAGTCATTACTGGCGCACTAAACTTTGAACTGTCGAAAAATATTTGCTGTGCTATCTAGACGTTCAAATATATTTGTCACGTAAAAATTTTCACATAAAAATTGCTCGTGTATACGAGATTCTATTGTCTCGCGATGCTGGATCAGAGTCTGTTTCGAATCGCTTGGCGACTTGGACGCCCTTTCATTCTCTCCATCCATGTTACTGAAGCACACCACACCCTCGATTAAAAATTAACTTTATCGGCCCTAAAATTAGAGATGAGAAATTTTAGAATTGCACGGCGATCCAGCCCGGTGACATTTTTGAAACTTGGTCAGTTATTGGTTTATTTTTATTACGGTCAATCTTCTTCCGACAGCTATAATAAATAATAGCCAATGAAAGCGAACCTTTTCTATCTTGTCTGTTGGATGTTTTTCATTAACCACAAGTGTCCCACGACATATGCGTCAATGGAATACCTTAACTTATTATATTAAGCCATAGATACATCTGCGATGCACTGCCGACACGCTCAAAATTAAGTACTCAAACTGATTTGACACACACCCCGTTATCTTTCCACAGCTAAGCGAAAGGTACTAATTATCGCTCATGCGTCATACTACTCCACGCCGGCAAAGTGCGTTGAAGAGTCTTTCTTGTACCAGCCTGCCTTTCAGAGCCGCCGACGTGCCGCCTGTGAAGTTGAACTTCAACTTTGGCCGGCATGCCGGCGATAAAGACCTGCGATAGAAATTGATTCTGGTAGGAGAAGCTCCCATAATGCCGAAACAATATCACACGCTGTTATCATACTTACATGGCTGCCGCAAATGAGATTCAATTTTTTGATTGTGCTTGTTGCTTCTGTACCCTTTCATGTCTAGTTCCTTAGCCGCAGATCTTGGTTTCTTAATAATTTCCAACAATGTGGTAACGATCGAGGAAATGTAAAATTACAGCCCTTGTAAGTTTCCCCGAGGCTTTCTTCTGAGTGTGTATGTAAATTTCATCTTAAACTATTTTTCTATCTCTTTTTGTGGGAAAGTAAATAAATGAAGTCAAGTACACTTTGACATTTTGGGAGACATTTTTCTTCTTGAACATACTGAGAACTTTTACAAATGTTAACAACTGCAAATAACACCGATTGGTTATCACTAATATGAATTTTCGAAAATTACTCTGAATCTAAGACTGACATCCCATTTGACAATTATTTTGAATTAGCCGGGCTTTGTATCAGATAGAAAATCGGTTTCAGACATGCATCTGCAAAAATGATCCCTGGTTGTGACAAAATTTCAAGGTTGTCGCACATTGTCTGTTCTGCGTCGAACTTGTATTCTTATTTTGAATTAGCAAAAGGCGACAAAAAAGGTAATAAGAAAACATTTTTCAGTTACGCGAGGCAGTTAGCTACTTGAGGGATCTTTTTATCTTCTTTAACTTGGATTACGCTGTGGTCAGCACAATGGTTTATTCTTATTTTAACATTTTGAGCCAGTTTGTAGAACTTTTCCACCTTCTCATGCTTTCATCTTTTTTCCTTTGTAAATACTGGGAATTTTTGTGATAGAGTCATGTACGTCGATACACATTAAATTTAACTCGCCGTTGGTTCTTCTCTTTGAAGAGCGATGGCATTTTTTCAGTTTTATTTTCCACTTCAAATAAACTAAATTGATGGTGATTGTACTGCCAATCTGCCAATCGACTGAAAGATTCGCTGAAGGGGAAGAAGACAGTTGAAAAAACCCAAACAATTGAACAGTTAAGTGCAATATGACAATTTAAGAAAACACATTTTAACCACGCTCTTAAAAGTGACCTATTATATTTTTCAGGTCGGTTTGAATATACTTTTTGATGCATTTATCCATTACTTGGTGCGAATGAAAAATCCTAGAGGCTGTAATTTTGTTTTCACTAGAAAATTGCCTTTGGCTTTTTGATCATTCAGGAATATATTAAATAAACAAGCTTGAGTCTTCTGTAAGCTCTACTACGATTGTTTTTTTTTTTCATTGAACTCTTTGTACGAGTCTTCAGTTAGTGTTTTTCATCAAAATCGTCTGTTGTGCCTTATTTCAAAACC